CCCCCCCCCCCCTCTGATGTGGGACGCACCTTTTCGCGGTCTTCGAGCACCTTGTCCTTCACCATCACAGCAGCTCGGAGGTCCCCCTGCGCGATCGCCGACGCCGTCATCTTGGCTTCCGCGTCCTCCTTTTCTTGGTCCAGCGCCTATGGCACGTCCGCGGAGAGGGGGAAGGGTAAGGGGTGCCAGGAGAGATGGAGGGATGCGTGCGAACACAGACAGCAGCAGCAGCAGCAGCAGCAGCAGCAGCAGCAGCAGCAGTGCTAAAACTAAGCCCGATGGACATATTAGAATCAACGCTGTTCTTAGGAAATACGATTGCAATAACAGGAGATGATCAACCCTGTGTCCCGCGCAGCCACCATCTCTTCGCCACAAATCATTTTCAACTCGTGGTTGCTTGCTGTTGTTCATGATTTTTCGCACCTTGGCCCGCGCCACTGCCGCTCCGAGCTCCTGCTGGCATTGACGTCGCGCTTGCCGCTCAGCAGCGAGCGCCGCCTCACGAGCCTCAAGCGCATCTCTGACAAAAAAAAAAAGGGTGCCACGGCAGGTAGGGTGCGTGATGAGAGCCATCTGAGGCGACCTTCTCGCTTTCGGTGCTCAGGACACATTGCAACGGCAGCAGCGGTACGTCAACACCAAGGACACCAACCGGGCCCGATTGTACCTTCAGTCGTCCCTAGTCCGACTACGTGCTCATGCCACGCGTCTTCTTCTTCCACACATGAGCAGTGCGGGCAGAAAGAATGCCTACTTCCTGTTACTAACCACCATCGCGCTTGCAAAGCTGTCGACTCAGAGAAAGGGCTAACTACCAATGCACTTGCAAAGCTGTCGACTCAGAGAAGGGCTTAACTACCAATGCACTTGCAAAGCTGTCGACTCAGAGAAAGGGCTAAATACCATCGCACTTGCAAAGCTGTCGACTCAGAGAAAGGGCTAACTACCATTGCACTTGCGAAGCTGTCGACTCAGAGAAATTGCCACAGCAGGACAACAAAGACAAGAAACAGCACCTGATCTCCTTCATCTCTGCCTTATTCCTCGCTGCCTCTGCCTTCATGGCCTCCATCGCTTCCTGAGCGCCGATCCTCTCCGTGCGTGCCGCCCGGATCTCGCCACGCGCAATCTGGAGAGCCGCCTGACTCGAAGAAGAACGGCGGTGGAGCGGGGCGAAAGCTGCGAGTAAATGCACGGTCAACAGGGTATGTTGAGGCCACCCACCCTCGCCATAAAACCCGCAGAAAATTCCAGTGCTGACACCTCACCATGGAATAAACAAACCAGTCCCCGGGCTTCAAGTTCTAGCAAATGGTTTAACACCTCGTCAGTCTGCTGAGTCCCATCAGAAATTCAAAACTAATGCGAGAGCGACGGGACGTGTGCACCCGGCAAACGGCGCTTTTGAGCACCGTGTCCTCCCTCTGCTTGTGCCGGCCAACTACCCGCAAAGGTGGAGAGATGGCACCCGCCGTACACCGAATTTCAAAGCTCGACTACTCCACAACTGTTCTAAGCGGGTGCGGAAAGAGCCCGATGCGTCTACGGAAAGCCCTCGACAAGAGACTCAAAAAAAAAAAAACGCATTGGCATAAGCTTGGGTGTGGAGAAATCGAGCTTTGAAAGTCGCTCTATTGTGTGTGTGTGCCATCTCTCGGATTCCTACGGAATACCACAGTACAGTATACGGTACGGTACAGTCAATCTTGGTTGTGGAGGTCTAGGGGGGCCTGCTATCTCTCCGTCCCTTACGGTACGCGCGCGTGAAGGCCAAAGATTCTACCGCTCCACACGCACGGCGAGAGCAACGGCTGTCAATGGGGATGGGACTAATGCGAAAGCTGGCACCTTTTGTTCCCGCGCTAGCTCCGCGAGCTCCGCGGCCACTCTCCTCCCCTTAGCCTCCCCCTCCGCCGACGCCCTCGCAGCCTTGGCAGCGGCGCGAGCGGCGTCCTCCGCGGCCTCGAGCTTGTGTTTGAGCGCCACGATCCGATCACGCTCGGAGTCTACCGCAGACGCCAGCTTCTTGTCTGCAAGACCAAAACAACACACGGGGGGGGGGGGGGGGNTTCAGGCGCTTGGGGGGCAGCGGAATGGGTCTGTAACTACTTCCCCGGAAATTAATTCCCAACGGAGGGAGGTCGATCAGCCAACTGCGGCGAGAGACCCAACTTGGTCCCTTCTATCACTGCGCTGTGCAACGTGGGGGAGCAAGAGGGTCTGTTACACGCTTCGTTGCCGCCATGTCCAAGCCACGCCCGACGCCGTTTGCCCTGCCGAAAAGTCAGATACCACGCTGGGCCGGCGAAAACCCTGCTCAGTTTGGGCCATGAAGGGATGCGAGGTCAATGGTCTTAACAACTGCGGCATGCATTTACACGAGTAACCCCCTCCCCCCCCCCCCCC